TTCAGGAATTAGGTTTTGTCTGATAGCGACATATTTCTTTGCTCAAACGAAGGGATGGGTGTTTTATCTCTTCTAAATCATGTAATCATGAATGTGCCAGGAATAAGTAATATATTGAAAGAGGGATAAAGAAATGAATACTTTCCGCTCATGCAATATACGATAACCCGTATTTTTACTTTTAAATACCTCCCCTCGCTCCCACACTAACTTTATAGTATCTAGCGTCACCCAACAGCCCCCCGCCCCACACTCATACATTAACTGTAATACCCCTTTCATGCTATGTAAATTTAAATGTGCCAGAATATAATTTACATTTCTGAAAAAGCAAATGAAACTTCTTTTCAGTGGTATTCAGTGTGATACCTGGAATGTCGTAGTATGACCCTATTTTGACATTTAAGACCCCACCCACCCCCTCCCAGTCAATTAATAGAGTCTAATAGCGTATACAACTTTTCAAGTTATTTTCTGGCACATTTCTATTTACATACCTTGAAAAAAGATCGAAGTTACACGGTACCAAACGTTATTAAGTGGAGGGAGGGGAAGGGATATTTAAAGTAAAAAAAACGATCTTAATAAGAAATACAGCTGGAAAGTATGTTTATTGTTTGCTACAAAATGTAAATTATTTTCTTGCACATTTGTATTTACATACCTTGAAAAAAGAAAAAAAATAACACAAAATACAAGATATCGGGATGATGCATACCAATAAAAAGGCCCGAATACATTTTCAAAATTGTAAAATATTTTCTGACATATTGATATTTACGTACCTTGTTAAAGCAGATAAAATTTGGATCGTCTGAGCTCTATTTAGTGAAGGGAGTTTGTAATTTAAAAGTCAAAATACGCGTCTTAATACGAAATTCCAATTATCGTATAATGCTTCACCAGAAAGTATTTGTCTATCGTTCTTTGAATATACGAGTATTAGCTATTTTACTGGCACATTCATGATTACATGATTCAGAAGAGATAAAGCCCTCTTTTGTTTGTCCAAAGAAATATGTCGCTATCACACAAAACCCAATTTCTGAAAATAGACTACTTTCAATTTATTTTATATTTTATTTAATGCTAGATCAGATTAACCAATATATATATATAGAGAGAGAGAGAGAGAGACATAGCACGCACGCGATTTCACTAAAGTCGCGGTCATCGAGCGATTTTTCTTATTGTATATATAGTTTGTTCGATTCTCCTTTGTTGTATGGTGCCTTATTGTATGCAGGTTGATTTCTGCTTATGTCGTCATGATGTTCCGGTTCGATGAATTTCACGAAATGTTTTTGGAGAAATGTTATTGAAGAAATGTTTTTGCAGAAATGTTTTGCAAGATTTGTATTTGTAAATTTGTATTTAGAAATTTGTTGTTCGGGATTTGTTTTTCGTTGTATGTCTATGATGAAATGTAAATGTAGATTATTTTTTTTATTTACTAAAATAAATTCTATCTTTATATTAAAATAAAATTAAATTAAACAAAAATACATTTTATAAATCTGATATGACAAATATCTGATTTGTAAAACAAATATTGATTTTTAGATACAAATGTTAATTTTAGTGTACACATGTCGAAATACGACAACAAATAAGAATTAAGGACTATGAATTAAGAACTAAGAATTAAGAACACTGAATAAAGAGCTGTTTGGTCTTCCATAAATAAACGCGTTAGGTGCCGACTATGAACACCCGATAACATTTAAGTGTTAAGACTTCTGCCTTACCTTTTGCTGTACGTGTTTCGTCTTTGGCACTTGCGACGGAGATTTTGCTCTGGGTGTGCATAACATCAACAATTTTCGACAATGATAAATAGCATCGAAAACGTATGAGGCTCTACTTTAATGAGAATTCTGTGGGGTTATTGGAGTTGCGGCCCTTGGCGAACGTTTATACTGATTTGGCAGCTAAAACCCAGGAGAAGAATCCTCGCTAAAAGAAAGACCTCAAGCAAGAGTCATGATTCCTGGGAAAAACTGCTACTTTTCATAAAGTTCAATTTAAACTATCCTCCCATGCTAGGGTACAATGTAAACTTCAAAACGTATACTTTTACCTTGAAACCGGAAGGACGTTCCTAACTTGGTGGGTCTGTGTGGCCCTAGGAATAAAATAAAATAATGAATTAATCTACAAATAATTAATGAATTTTATGTGAAAATAAAATACTGGTTTAATCTATAGATAATTGAGAATAGGTACGAGAAACAGTACGGATCTTTCGAAAACGCCATGTTTTTTGTTTTGTTTTGTTTTTTTGTTTTTTTGGGGTTTTTTTTTGTTGTTGTTTTTTTTTAATTGGATCATTTAATAACATGATTACACAGATGTTAAATTACTAACTCTCATTGAAAGCCACAACTGGAATTTAAGACAAGAGATTACTATACTGAGGACAAGCATACTTTTAGATACATATGGTCAGAGTTCTATGGAATACACTGGTATTCCATGGAACTGTCACCCGTGTGTTACCAGTGCAATTACTAGTCATTGAAACAATATACTTTTAGGGGGTTTTTTTTATTACAATAATGCACACAGGAATTGAATAATTCATGGAATATAATTCAGATATTATAAATGAAATGGGGTTTAACGTCCTACTGTTCTTGCTCCTATACTGGGCTAATGAAGACGGGCATACGCCATACAGTGTGCTATGAGGGACATTTTGGCTGGGCAGAGGCACTATCGCCTACTCTTATATCGAATTTCAACTGCCAGGGTATCTTTTTCGTGCATTCCCATATATACACGGGACCTCGGTTTTTTCGTCTCATCCGAAGGACTAGACAACTGTCCTTGTCAGGCCCTCCGTTCTGCACCACTGACAAGGGGAAACCACGTCGGAAAATCTGGATGAACTTTCTCGGCCAATGCAGGGATAATTCAGATATTATAGCCATGACTTGAACTCAATAGAACTCCATTATATTGGGTTATTTCCCTTTTATAGCTATGCCAGTATGGTCTTGCCAAACCTCCAGCATTTTTCGGAGTGAAATGAAATGGGGTTTAACGTCCTCTACTGATTATATGTCACCAGGATATGCTAACAGGATGTTTTAAGAATCTACCTGGATTCTGTGTGACATTTGAATTATATTTTTTTAATTTTATGCTAGACAGGATGTTTTAATAATTTACCTGGATTCTGCGTGACTTGTAAAATTATAATGTTTCAATTTAATGCCAACATGATGTTTGAATAATTTTACCTGAATTCTGTGTGAGGTTTAAATATGTAAATAAAGGTATTCTTCTTTCTATAAGACTGAGAAGGAGGCTCGGTGCCTTTATATTCTCACGTAGTTTGGGGGACATTTTTTAGTTTTAATCTTACGTCGTCTTTTTCAAACATGTTCTGCCGCGTGGTCGGAGAGGACAGAGACCCCACCCCGCCCCCACATTCCAGGGTCTAGGTTTATCGGTCAACATCCCCCAGTCCCTCCCTGCCATAAACGAACTACCAACTAAAGATATAGTTTATAATACACCTTGTGCGGTCATAGATTAAATTCTTTTACAGATTAATCTTTATCTAAATGTTTAACGGGAAGTCTTCCTTGTTATTTTATCGATAAACTTACACAATATCTTTATTTCTATTTACACTACCGTATAGGGGGATCACGTGGCTAAGTGGGTAAGACGCTGGCTCGCTAGCCTGGAGGTCGGGTGTTCGATCCCTGCATTGGCCGAGAAAGTTCATCCAGATTTTCCGGCGTGTCTAGTCCTTCGGATGGGACGAAAAACCGAGGTCCCGTGTACATATTGGCACGTAAAAGATCCCTTGGCAGTTGGAATTCGATATAAGAGTAGGCTGTAGCGCCGCTGCCCGGGCAAAATTTCCCTCATAGCACACTGTATGGCGCATGCCCGTCTTCATTAGCCCAGTTTAGGAGCAAAACAGTAGGACGTTAAACCCCATTTCATTTCATTTCACACTACCGTATAGGATAAAATCTAACTACAGCTTTAAGAAGTTTTATTTTCACATGGGTTGACTTCACCCCTCATAATTTAGCCAATATTATTTTCTTTTGGCAATAAAAGAAAACATATAACTATTAAAGAAGTACAATTAGATCTCGTGACAAGTTCACCAACAATGAATATATCAAAGTTGCAGCCAAATAAATATATCTGTTTTAAATTGGATTGGGTATAGAAAACTGTCATGTTAAAGTACGAAACTTCATAAACAAAGTTTTTCATTGTAGACAACACGTCGGTAGTCAATTAATTATATTACATGTGAAATATGAACAACTATAGAGATATATTGCATTACGCATCCTCGTAACTAATACTACTCTTAGAATAGATTTAACACTGTACTGTGGTGTCTGTCATGGAATCAAGTGGCGTGGTTTCCATTCCCAGCTTGTACGTGACAAAGTGTAAGATCGTCTGTCCAACAACATGAGTTTTCTCTGCGTCCTGCACTTTACTACCACTATTGAAATCTTCGAGGCTTAAGGGAATTATTGAAATAATATTGACCTTATGTTAGTCCCAAATTGCCCATACTTGTGTGTGTGTGTGTGTGTCTCTCTCTCTCTCTCTTCCATAAGTAAATGCGTGGGAAAACGCTAAACTTTTACGGCAGTCACGCTTCACATAATATGTGGGTATATAATGTGTATAGAACTCCATAGTGCGCCCCGACTTACTAATAGACTAAAACGTCTTTCACGGGTATTCCCCTAAACTTTCAGAAGTAAAGTTATTTTTTATTTATAAAACGACAATGACATAGTTGTTTACTTCAGTAAGTAAAGGTATCAGGAAATTCTTCCTTAAATTCCCAAATAATTTACATATAGCCTACTGTTGTGTATGAACTTATGAAGTATAAAAAAGAAACCTAAAACGAGCTATCATAGTTGTTTATTGCCTCATAGCATGGGGATTGTTCTAAACCGACGGAATCGTTATCAATTTTCTGATTGTTCATATGGAATTAACACAGCAGTTTCTCAAAGGTAAGACTCGGTTTTGTATTTACTGTAGCACCCCCTTACGTCAATATTATGTTGTCATTTTAAGGCAAGTAAATTTCTATGAATTCTATCGGAATAAAATGTTGAATTGTGTTGATTAGCTGTTTTAATTTGATCAATAAATAAATAAATAAAATTTCAGGGTTGGGGTGGTAGACATAATGCTCTTCCGAAATATGAACATGTACCCATTTCACAAGTTTAGATATATTATACCCACTTCGCCAAATTTTAACGTATACCCACTTCACAAAGTTAATGGACAATTATTAATGAAATCGATACTTTTGTTTTCTACCAAAATAAAAAATGTTTTATCCATGAAGATGTAGACGTTAGTAGAGAGTTGGTCCCATAAAATTATTAAATCGTCTCTGACGCATGGCTCGTTATGGTCGAATCTTTTAGCAAATGTGATTCCTTAAATATTAAGAAGGTTTTCTTACTATATTTCCTTCATAAAGCTGTCGAAGACAGTTGAGATTAAATGCGTTACTTGGTTTTTGCCGTGATTGTTCAAGGAAAGTGCTCATATCTAGATCAAATTAAACCTAAAGGACAAGGCGAGCCTACCACTGCACTGGAGTGTGAAATTGACAGAAACGGAATAGGTACGATTAAAATCGATTAATTTGTATACTGCTCGCACTGAAATGAATGTCTTAATGTATGTAGGATCTTAAACTTTCGGGAGCCAGAGGCTGACTCTTCTCATTGGTGCAGGACGAAGGGCCGGACAAGGACAGAGGTGCTGTGTACACATTGGAGTGCACGTAAAAAGATACCTTCGCAGTAGGAATTCTATATGAGAGTAGGCCGTAGCGCCACCGTCCGGACAAAATTTCCCTCATACTTCACTGTATGGTGTATGCCCGCCTTCATTAGCTCCGTCGGAGCAAGACGTTAAACCTCATTTCATTTTATTTAAGTCTTAGACTCTATTTTTTACCTTTATTCTGGCATATTAATGCTTTAAGTTTGATGTGAAAAGATTCAATGACCCCCCCCCCCTCACCACCACCCCCACAAGTAAGCAATGCCCCTTTAAGCTCACAAACCGATCAAGATACAGACATGAGATGGGGTCTAACATCTTACTTTTCTGCACTGACTGGGCGGATGAAGACGGGCATAGGTCTTACAGTGAACTATAAAGGAATATTTCCCGGAGAGCGACTCCTCGGCCTATTCTTATATCAAATATCAACTCTCGTGGGTTCTTTTACGTGCAAGCCAATGTCTATACACGGAACCTCGCTGTCCCTTGCCAGGCTCTTCGTCCTGCACTGCTGACAAGTGGGAAACAAGCCAGGAATTCCCGATGAACATTCAAAACATTGAGTCACCGTGGCTCCTTAAATCATAAACGAAAGTAAAAAGATAATTTGCCAAAAATGATTTTTTATAGAAGAAATATCGCCATATTTCAGGTTTTTCTTTATATACAGTTTTGCTGGAATGATATTTGTAAATTTTAAACAAAATGTGAGCTAGGCCTAGGACTTAATTATGAGGATCTGACATTTGATTTGAATGACATTAATTTTAAACTTTAACTAATAACAATTTATGGACATTCTGAAATGCACTTTAATAGTGCACATCAAGAAACATTTCCACCAAACCCTCTTCTTCGTTCACATCAATAGTTATTAACAAAACGATCTTGCCAAATAAATGAAAAGTGGTAAAAGGTGTCCCAGACATATTACATACACCGTCGCTTACACATCGCCAGGTCTTTCGTACACATTGGCGTGCACGTAAAAGATCCTTTGGCAGTTGAAATTCGATACAAGAGTAGGCCGTAGCGCCGCTGTCCGGGTAAAACGAAAGTAAAAAGATAATTTGCCAAAAAATGATTTTTTTATAGAAGAAATATCGCCATATTTCAGGTTTTTCTTTATATACAGTTTTGCTGGAATGATATTTGTAAATTTTAAACAAAATGTGAGCTAGGCCTAGGACTTAATTATGAGGATCTGACATTTGATTTAAATGACATTAATTTTAAACTTTAACTAATAACAATTTATGGACATTCTGAAATGCACTTTAATAGTGCACATCAAGAAACATTTCCACCAAACCCTCATCTTCATTCACATCAATAGTTATTAACAAAACGATGAAAAGTGGTAAAAGGTGTCCCAGACAGATTACACACACCGTCTCTTACACATCGCCAGGTCTTTCGTACACATTGGCGTGCACGTAAAAGATCCTTTGGCAGTTGAAATTCGATACAAGAGTAGGCCGTAGCGCCGCTGTCCGGGTAAAATTTCCCTCATGACATGGCGTATGTACGTCTTCATAGCACATTTGGAGCAGAATAGTAGGACGTTAAACTTCGTTTCATTACATTTTATTTACACAATACCAGCCCCTACTGCGGTTAATGTCTGGTTTGTAATTGAGTGAAACTTTTATTAGTTATAAAATTGAAAAATGTTCGAATATGAATATATCCTTAGAATATAAATCCGGCTTGCAATGATTATGAAGTCGTTTAAGCAAATGAACATATCCTATTAAGATTTATAATTCAAACTCGATGGGCAACTTAACAAGCGGGTTTCCTTTATCTTCAAGTTGTGTGATATCCTGTCGGAAGGAGGCATTCTCAATATGAGAGACACTAACTGACTTGCCAGGGCATCATAGGTAGGTTATGCATTCCAATTAAAGTTGTATTACCCCTTGATAATATATGAATTGAATCTTTAGAGCGTTTCAGCACAACAAATATTACAGATAGAACATTAGAACACAGAACAATTATGTATATTTTAGAGGGATTCCTTGCACAACTATTAGATATAGAACATTAGAATACAAAACAATTAAGTGTATTTTAGAGGGATTTTGTGCACAACTACATGTATTAGATATAAAACATTAGAATACAAAACAATTATTAAGTATATTTTAGAGGGATTCCGTACACAACTATTAGAGATAAAACATATTTTAGAGGGATTCCGTACACAACTATTAGAGATAAAACATTAGAACACAAAACAATTAAATACATTTTAGAGGGATTCAGCGCACCAGCCATTATAGATAGAACGGAATGAGTAAGGTTTTTCATTTTGGGAATCTTTTTTGGGAATTTCTACTCTGTAAATATTTAAATTTTGGGATCGTCCTATTTAATCGCATTGGCCTAATGAATACGAGCTTACACCATACAGTGTGCTATGAAGGAAATTTTTCCCAGACAGAGGCGCCACGGCTACTCTTATTTTGGATTCCAACTATCAAGAGTTCCATTACGTGCACGTCAATGTTTAGATGGGACCTCGGATTTTCGTTCCATCTTGCACCACTGACATAGGGAAACCACGCCGGAAAATCACAAGGAGCGAATCGCTATAATAGTTTGAAAATAAATAAAGAAAAAATTCAGTCTAATTACTTTATTATGGTCTAAGTTATAAGTGTTGGAAGTTTTGATCAGAATAACGTAGTTTCGATTTTCATTGCTACAATTGTTAGTAATTTTACAATCATAAATAAGGTCAGGATTGTCCATTTTTAAATTAGTAAAATTCGAATGTATTTCAATCCATTAACAATCGCAGCGATCCGATGATCTAAAGGGTTTATTATGGGCTTGTCGCGTGAATAAATGTTTAAATAATAATTTATATAACGTTTGTGGCCAAAAGATAGTCCTGTAATAGACAGATTTGGTTTTTTCATAAGTCTTACATAATGTATCTTTAATGTTAACCTAGCTTTAACCATGTAGATATACACAAGTCTGTTATCACTATTATAAAGATGATCAACGGGATGATAGTGTGACATATCTAAGAACAGGATATGTGTAAGAGGCTATACAGCTTTAATGTATTTGCATTGTCATAATTAACCTTCTCACCAGAAGTAAAATTAATATCACTTGGCTATAGAGTCGGATATACTTTCCAAAGTTATGGTAAGGAAGAATTTTCAGAGAATATCAAGAAATTAGTTTCGATTATATTTTGATACATAACAAATCTAAATATCTAAGTCTAATTATTCTATACTATCATTTCTTCGTTTTCTGAATTGTACACGAGGTTTCGTATTTGTTTTTCAGGATGAATATAACTAACTCCGATCTGATGGATATGTATGGGGTAAGTGACTTAATATTTGTTGTAAAAGCCCCTATTTGTCAGAATTGACTTAAAATACAGAATTTATAAAACCTATATGCACACAAGTACTTTTGTTGACATTTGTATTACAATTTTCAACTTAATTGGTTCTCACTTACATACTGACATTTGATGGCTATTGTTTATTGATTTCACTCCACAATCCAATGGCACATAGACAAATAAAATAATACCAATTTTCAAATGTGCTTAATTATTAATAATAGGGTTTATATTATATTATATGTGAACGACCTAACTAGCTGTGCTGTTAACGGTCTATTTCTAAGAAGGCAAAATCTTAAAATCGAATATAACCTAAAGTCAGTAGTTAAATTTAAATTGGCTAAACCTTTAATATATTTTAATTGTCGGTTTCATTGTGGATTTATACCTTGATCTTAGTTGCAAATTGGGAGCCTCTGTCGTTGGCTCACAAACGTGAAGGCCGGTGTTTGATCCTGGGGGTCATTTATGTATTTTCCGGCGTGGTTCCCTCTTGTAGAATAGATAGTCTGGGTAGGAACAACATATAGTCGTTAGGATGGTTCGAAAACCGAGGTCCCGTGTACACCTTGACACCATTGACAGTTGAAATTCGAAATAAGGGTATAGGCCGTAGCACCGCTGTCCGAGCAAAATTTCGCCGTTTGCACACTACATAGCGTATGCCCGTCTTCATTAGCACAGTCGGTACAGAACAGCAGGACGTTAAACCCCATTTCATTTCGTTGAATATTGTACATCTATAGATAAAGCAAACGCTGAGGTATAATCAATAGTGTCTCCTACTATTATCACGGTAAGCAACAATTAGCAGACAAGCTGACTTCCCCTTAATATTTCAATAGAAAAATTTAGTCATATTAGAGCTAGCCTCGTTATTTATCTAAACAGCACGCCAGATCAACCTGGTCAAAGGATGTTTAGCTCCTTAAGTCATTTTTGTGTGCGTTTGCCCGTGAACTAGGTTGTTTTGCTGTATTTTACTATAATCCTGTGTATTTGGACTAGAAAACAAGTTCCTTATTAGGTCCGATGATGTATCTCCCCTCAAAAATATCCCTCGTCACAGCCAGATTACTATTTTGTATATATATTGATTTCAGTTCAGATTGTTGTAGTGTTGTAGATTAGAGTGATGTGTGTATATATATATATATATATTATGTCACTGTGTGTGATGATGAATAATAATCTATGAGATCAGTCGTATGTAAACATAGTAGTTCTTCTTAGCGGTTTCACTGATTGTTGATCAGGCGCTATCTAGTAAATTTATGTGGTTCATTTTTCGGGCCTATGCGCCTATGTCCGTGACCCTTCACTGGAACACACAATTCTGAAATATAAGCTTAAAACATCGTTCATTTCAAACGTTAGAAATAATTAGTGTGGTACACGACGCGTTAACCACATTTGGTTCTATATATTTTTATCCCCATTACCATTTTCAGGAGTTAATTGACCCTAACTAGACTTTATGTTCGCGCGAATCAAGATATGATTCACTCAAATTATCTGAATATTTATCAAATCGATAAAGATGTAGTTTTTTGAATAATATGTTTGTGACCAGTGAGATCAAATGCTTTTGCTAAACTCTGTCATACGAATTATTTCAGTAGCACATGAATGATCTGATCTAAATCCAGATTGGTACCCTTAAAGGGACAATAACACTCTTGCTAGCTTGACAGCTCCAGAAAATAAATATTAGCCTTATTCTAAGTATTAGATGTTTAAGTGTCCTACCTGTTGTGTAAATTATCCATTACATCCTATTTTACTTGTCCAGAGGGTTTGACAATATTTTTAAATCCAAGTCACATTTGAAAACGTTTACGTTAGGCTTTTCAAATCATGTAGTTGAATTTTTCCAATTTTTTAAATTAGGTGTTTTTAAGATGAAATTTGTATCATCAATTAATTGGAATATTGTAAAATAGTACAATTTGTTGACCAGAATAAAGATTGGGACATATTATTCAATTACAACAAGAGTGGTATTGAGCCTTTAAAGAACCTTGAATGTGTGCAACTAAGAATGAATTTGAGTACCAAGTGTCATTGAATATTTTTCAAATTGTGCAGGGGAGAATCTGAAATGGTCTATAATTGTTCCGATCATCTTAAGCTTCCTTATTATGTATAGGAATAATTTAAATTTATCCAGTTTAAGGGCGCCATCGAATATGTGCTTGAGAAATACAAAGATTATTGATATACGATCGTATGCCAAACTACTACAAATTATATACGCAGATCATTTTAAAATTTGGTGTCGTTTCTATTTAAACTCAATAAATGTTTAAATACCTCTGTCAATAGAAAGTTGTTACTGGGTGGGGGGGGGCACCTTTTCATTTACGTGATCTGATATTTTCTGTTTACACTCTTGAGAAAGCGGTGTATAGTGGGGATCAATGTCATATATTAAATTATATAGTGAAGTAATCATTCATCAAATTAGCAATAGCATTTATATCATTAATTTTTTTTATCGTCTTTAATACTTTTTGGATATGGCCATAGTTGGTTTTATTCTGAATATCACGAAAATACCGCCAGATATTTTTAGATTGCTCTTCAGTTTCGATAGAGTCTTTAATAAAGGTTCCTTTGCCATTAGTAATGAAATTTTTCGTTTTATTCCTCCAAATTCTATAGTCGTCACACCTCTTCGTTTAGGGGTCTTAAGGTAGTCTCTGAAAGTTCGAGCTTTGTTTATTTCCTCGGGTCGCTGTTCTGGCAAAATAACATTCATACACTGTATAGCGCATGTGCAGAATACTAGAACGTTAAACCCCATTTAATTTTATTTCATTTAATTCCATAATAATACGATCTGGGTGTATTTTGATTTATAATTCTAATCCTTTTGATGGGGTTTAAAGAGAGATTAGTGTATTTGCATAATTCATCTATAAACAGAGCTGCTTTATATTTTAAACCTTAATGTTTAATTAAAATACTAAAATTAAATATTGTGCGTGTGCGTGTGTTGCGGGTAGTTGTTGATTGTAATTTTATGCTCTCCTACCGAGCGTTTAACAAAACCGTAGCGATGGCACCCTGTTTGCGTTTCAATTGTATATAATGTTTTTGGAATCCTTCGCTGTATATTTCTAGTATGTTATTTGACGTAGAAATTTGACACGTCACCTCCACTCTCTCTGCACTAGATAATATTTCAAAACAATGTATTGTTTTTGGTTTTAAAATGTACTTTATGGGGTGAAAATAAGGGAAAGGAGTACGGTAGTCTTCGCTATCTGAACCCCCACGATACCATACCATTCCATTTAAATCGGGCTAAATATATTACATAAGCTCGGTGTTGAGATATGGAATTAAAAATCAACACGGTGACATTCATAATTTCATCATACTTTCTTATAGTATTGACTGAATTTTCGTTTATGTAAATTTGAAAACCTAAAATCTGTCCAGAAGTCGGGGGCCTGTTTCACGAAATCTTAACTAAAGATCAAATCAAAATTTTAGTAGATACTTCAATTTTGATTGGCTAAGCACTAAAATCAATCTAATATTATCAATCTAATTACTAAAATTTGGATTTTATCTCAGTTAAAAATTTCGTGAAACTGGCCCCTGGCAAACAGGCAGGCTTGAACCAAAACGGGTGAGCGTTATACACGTTTTCGTTAAAATGTGGGCGTATATCCTAATGACCTTAGGGTTATTATTAAAATGACAATCAGAGGTTAAGATGCGAGTAATATGATCACACTCGCGTAAACTATATATACATGTGTTGGGGAAATTACATTGAATCCTGTACACGCATTATCTTGTTTCCCACTATTCCGGATTCGGACGGATGTGGGCGGATGTACAACTTAAACACAATTGACATACGTGACAAGTGTAGCTAATTCAGACAATTTGGTCTTTAAAATAGAAGCAATAACATCCTGAATATGGTTGCACATCTAGGATAACATAATCTGAAAAATGGGGGCGCTTTACTTCAGTTTGAATTGATTTGAATTATCCCTATGGTCCCAACATGCATAGGCGTAGGCGGTGGGGGGTAATTTTTCGGGAAACGTCAAAAATAATCAGGCAAGCTCAAATGTAAAAAAGAAAATAGTCTTGCTAAAGAAAATGGTAAAAAATGTTCAGAATGAGTAATTCGAGAAGCCCTAATGTGACACTTTGGGGATAGATATCCTATGTTCTCGTAGCTAACTCTTCAATGTCACAGTGTCGTGTGTCTAGGTAGGACTTCACTTTAGTTGTTCAATAAACTTCAAACTCCTTTCTGTATGTTGGAGGTATCTTTATATGTTACAATGACATATTCTACAACATCACTACAGCAACTGTTCTATAGGTACGTGTATTTAAAAGTGACACACGATTAAACCTACCCTGGTCATTTCGCCCAACCGTCTCATTTATATAAAAAGTTTAACGGCGTCAACTATTAGGGCTAATCTGTACTGTATCAAAGGTGCGAAGACCTCTGATCTGATGTCTGATCCTATTTTTTAACGAAACGTGACAACAGTAGCCCTCGTCTAGAAAGAAATGGTGGCAGGAACTATACATGCGTCAATCTAAGAAAGTTGAAGGAACCCTGCAAGGGTATCCTGCATATTATCACACTTATGGTTTTATATTCTTTAATTGTGGTCTTAAGTTAGCAATACATATTAAGTGATCATCATTAATTAATTGTTGTTTTACAAGAGTCGTGGACCTTCCATTTTCTTTAAGGGCATCCCATCCCTTTAATTATTAGGTTTTTTTTTTTAGGTCTGAGGTCGGATTAATGCTTAACACCATATCACATTGTCTTTGAATGGCTTCCGTTTGTTAATTGTTTATTGTTAACCATTTGTATATAACTTCCTGTAACATGTTGATTGTATCATTGCTTGATAACGGTGAGAGTATCCTCATTGAAACGTCGCAGTTAATAAACCTAGTGAATGTCATCCATAAAGCTG